TACAAATCACTTTTTTGCCCAGTACTGAGCAACATAAAGTATGAGAAGCCCTAGTCTCCTCCTGAAAGGAGTTCAACAGATAACTAGAGGTCTAGAAACACCTGTGGGAGCACCACTAGCTGTGACAGCAGCAATAGTAATGACCACAGGCCTTTACTAAGTGTTCTGAGCTCCGTTGCCTCCCTCAATCATCATGACAACCTAGGAAGCAGGCAGTATTATCATTTTCATTCTACAGATGATGAAATTGAACAAGGCAATGTGTAGCAACTTGCCCAAGGTCACAGTCAAGGTCAAATCCAAACTAGTCTGGCTCTAAAGTCAAAAATAAGAATACAGAATATGATTTCTGTTTTTTGAGAGGAAGGGCAACACTTAAAACTAGAGGGGTGCTTCTACGCTAATAAATAGCATTAAGGGATGCCTGGGTGGCTCCATTGTTTGAGCCTCTGACTCTTGGTTTCAGTTCAGGTTCATGATCTCATGGGTCATAGGAATCAAGTCCCAGGTGGGGTTTCCTGCTCCTTGGCGTGTCTGTTTGAGACCCTCTCCCTCTGTCCCTCCCCTCCCACATACTGGCACTCTCTTTCTCCCCCTCAAGTAAATAAAACTTTAAAATAAATAAATAAATAGTATTAAGATAATTGGCTCCCATTGGGAAAATAATAAAGCTATCACCCTGCCTCACACCTTATACCAAGATATACATTTTAAAGTTAAAAAAAAATTTTAACTGTAAAATTACCAGGAGATACCTATTTATATAATGTTGGGAATTAGAATGATTTTCTAAACATTGCACCAAAGCAGAGGCATTGATTGATAAAATTACTACATAAAAATCTAAAATCTCTGTACAACAACAAAAAAACCCACATTTACTTATAGTAGCCAAAAATGGGAGAGAGACTAATGACCATTAATAGGGAGAAAGTTAAAAAGATTGTAGTGTATCCGTACTCCAAAATACTACGCACACCTTAAACTGGCTGAGGTATTAACAGCTAAAGAATGGTTGTGATAGAATGTGGAATTTTAAAAAGCAAGTTGCAGAACAATATGTTTTTGTTGGAGATTTCTGGTTTGCTAAAATCAAACACAAACAGTGACCAGACTTGAAAATTCCCTGAGCTGACACAGCCAGTTAATCATACAAGCAAAGCTTAATTTAGTTTATTTTACAAGATGAGAAAGGCTAATGTGACCGGGTCACTTCTTGCTTATGCCTCTGAAAATCATGAGCAAAACTTAAATTGTTCCCTGCAACTGACAGGTGGTAACCACTAACCAATTGCTTTACATTTAAGAAAATTCTAACACTGTAACCAATTATTGCAATGAATAGTCCCAGTCTCCACATTACATACACTGCTTTATAACAATATACTTCTGAGGTTCATTCCGTATTTTGGTTTGAGCACTCTCAGTTTTTGCAAACTGTCTTTTTATTGTGCGTACAATAAACTTTTACTAATTATTACTTCAGGGATTCATTAGTTTTACTTGTTTTGTTGTATTTTTCTGAATTTTTGACAGGTTAAAAGCTATGCATAATCAACTGTACTAAAATACATATATTTACATATATGGTTTATCAACATGGAGATAGATATATTTATAGTATACTCCCCTAAGAATAAACACAACACTACTGGTTACCACTAGGAAGAAGAAAGGGAGGGTGTGAAGAGAAAATGTTCTCTTTTGCTTCCTTTTGATATTTTACTTTTTTTTAAAGTACACATTAGGGCAGCCCGGGTGGCTCAGCAGTTTAGCGTCTGTCTTCAGCCCAGGGCCTGATTCTAGAGACCCGGAATCAATCCGACATTGGGCTCCCTGCGTGGAGCCTGCTTCTCCCTCTGCCTGTGTCTCTGCCTCTCTCTCTCTTTTTATCTCTTATGAATAAATAAATAAAATCTTTAATAAATAAATAAATTTAAAAAATAAAGTACACATTAATTCGGTCATTTTAGAGAAAACATTTTAATCAGAGTGTATAAAAATTAAAAGGCAAAACTGGGAAAATTATGGCAAAAAACGCTAAAGATTTAGTATTCTTGATGTATAAAGTATCCTTATGAATTAGTAAGGTGACAACAATTCCAATACAAAACAGGCAATCTATAGAAAAGAAAATGTCCAAGAAAATACAGTATTTCTTTACACTATAATCATAGAAATGCAAATTAAAACATGAAATTTTTCCCCCCTATAATTAGCAAGGTTTAAAGAAATTGTAATATTAGTGTTGAAAAGAGTCTTGGAAAAAATGATTTGCATCCCTTTTCTAGAGGACAAACTAGAGCAATTTTTCTTACAGAAATTTAGCTTGAAGAATAATTTAAGATAAATATAAGGGCTTACCCAGAAGGATGTTGAACACAGCCCTTTATAAAAGCAAAACCTCAGAAACAATGAAAATGATCAAACATAGGCAACTGTTTATTTGTATAATGATTTCTAAAGTTGTTTCAAGAGAAAAAAAAACACAATTATTTCAGAGAAACATAAGGAAGCAGAGGAAAACAAGGAAAAGGTGATCTCACAAGCACTTAAAAGAAAAAGGGCCTGGGGTGCCTGGCTGGCTGGGTTGGAGGAGTGGAGGAGCGTGTGACTCTTGATTTCAGGGTCATGAGTTCAGGCCCCACATTGGGTGTAAAGATTATTTAAAAAAAAAAAAAAAAAAAAAAAGCTAAATAAACTTAAAAAAAAATAAAGAAAAGAAAAAAAGGGCCAGGATTTTTTTTGATGCCCAACAGATTAAAAAAAAAAAAAGATTTATTTATCTGAGAGAGCAAGAAAGAAAGTACAAGCAAGAGGATGGGCAGAGGGAGGGGCAGAGGGAGAGGCAGGCTCCTCCTGAGCAGGGAGCCCCTATGGGGCCTTGATCCCACCCCTGGGATCATGACCTGAGCTGCAGGCAGACACTTCACCGACTGAGCCACCGAGGTGCCCCTCTACAGTTGGGTTTTGACAGTTTTTTATATACTGGAGACACTAGTCCTTTGTTAGACAGCAGATAAGCAAATATTTTCTCCTGGTCTGTACCTTGCCCTTTCAACCTCTTAATGTGGGCTTGCAGAGAGTGAGAAAGTTTTTAATTTTGAGGAGGTCCAATTTATCAAATTTTTGGCTATTGTAGATTTCATTTCAATCATTTCCATTTGCTTTTTTTATAACTTGGATTTCCTCACTGAAATTTTCTATTTTTTCATTTGTTTCAACAGAACTTGTAATTGATTGTTGAAGAGCTTTTATGGTGATTGCTTTTAAATTCTTAGCAGTTAATTCCAATGCCTACTTTGTCTCAGTGACTTGACTCATTCAACTTGTGACTTTTGGCTCTTGGTCAGACCAGTGATCTTGGTCCTATTTAAACCCTTTATTTTAAATTTTTTTTTTTAATTTTTTTTATTTTTACGATAGTCATACAGAGAGAGAGAGGCAGAGACACAGGCAGAGGGAGAAGCAGGCTCCAAGCACAGGGAGCCTGACGTGGGATTCGATCCCGGGTCTCCAGGATCGTGCCCTGGGCCAAAGGCAGGCGCCAAACCGCTGCGCCACCCAGGGATCCCTAAACCCTTTATTTTAGCATAGAGCCATCCTGTTTAGGTTTAGCACACAGGTCATGGGCTGCTTTTATGGGTTGTGGTTCTAAGGACAGTTTAATTTTCAGAGCCTTTGCTGTTTCCTTGGTCTCCTTGATTTATTGGGTACAGTTAAGGCTCCCACAGGCCCCTGCTAGTGCTGCCCGAGGGACTAGCCCAGCCTGTGGGTGTCTCTTGGGGGTGGCTGATCTCAGGCCCCCTTTTCCAGTGCCACTAGCTGCTGCCCAGCTGGCCCAGTGAATGTAAGAGGACAGGGAGCAAGGGGAGTCTCAGGTCCACAGAGACAAAGGGGCTTCTCCAGCCAGGTCACTTACTGTGTTAACAGAATCCCGCTGCTCACGCCCTGGCCACCTGGGCCTGTCTTAGCAGAGGCCTGAGAGGAGAGGGCTTCCTCTGGCACCTACTCTTACAGATTTTCTACAGATTCCCTCTTGTTGGTTGCTGGGCTCTCCTGGTGATGTAGGATGACCAACGGTCAGTCCTGGGGAGAAATGAGTCCTGCTCTCTACCTTTGTTTTCTAGCCTCCTATCAATCAAGATAAATGAAAACGTGTCCACAAATTACACAACACACGTACGGTCACTAGACTTAACATTGGTAGCCTTAAGACAAGTTAGCTTCTCAGATTCTGAGAAAATAATCTCTAATAATTTGGAGGCTTTATCTCTAGTAGGCACAAAAACTGCAAAGAATGAATTATAAAGGCTTAAATTCTTGTTCTTGGTAAGGTTCAGGAATCTGTAAAAAGTCGTCACTAGAGGGCAGCAGACTCAAACACTGCCCCATAGCAAGCAATTGCCAGGCACCATCTCCAGATTGTAGACTGAGAGCAGCTGCTTAGGTTTTTACTGGCTAGAAACATGGAATATTATTTTAACCCATTCTTCCTCAAACTTGACTTCTAAAATGGCACTGGCTCATGGGTAACTTCCTCATTCTTTTACTTATACTGTGCCCAATATTCCAGCATTTCCAATATTCCCCGTATTTTCCAAGAGTTCTTTATAGAAGAAAATTCTGGATCTATCAACTGAATATATTGTAAAGAAATGGAGCTAAATCTCTTGGCTTGTTTGTCTGTTTTTAGAATTTATTGAAATTTTCCACTCAAGTGCATTATTTTGTGAGCAGGAACAAATTCACAATGCTATAGGATGTAATAAGAATACAGTTTTCTTGGGGTGCCAGGAAAAGTGTGTGGCTCTTGATCTTGAGGTCATGAGTTCAAGTCCCATGTTGGGTGTACAAATTACTGAAGTAAATAAACTTTAAAAAAAAAGAAAAGAAAATAGTTTAAAACGCAGTCTTTAGAAGGTGCTTTGCAAGGGAACTTGGCATGAAGTTGTAGCAAGACAGCAGCTGGAGTTACCACCTTTCTGTTCTATCTGCAGCTTCCCATGTTCCCATGGCCAAAACAAAACAAAACAAAAAATGCTCTAAGTCATCTCCAAGTTCAAAGGATTCAGCAAACAATAGCAAGGCGGAGGCACCAGAAACGGACACCTGATTTCCATGACACATATGGTAATGCTGTATTAGCTAAAGAAACCATTTTCTGTGTTGCATATACAGCAACACAAACTGGAATAGAAGGGGACCTATCCCCTGTTGGCAGAGTTACCCCAAAGGAATGGAGAGATCAGTAATTGTCCCAGCTGGTGTAATATTGTATTGTCTCAGGAACGACTCCTGATTGATTCCAAGTGAAAGAAGCACTGTGCACCTATTAAAATATGGCACGATTGAAGAAATGAAGTACATGTGAAACCTTCAAAAAAATTAAAATCAAATTAAAAAAGCAGTCGTTAGAGATATCCTTAAAGCCACAGCCACATGCACTATAATTAGAGAAATAGTCCCTAGAAAAATGAGTTAAAGAAACAACTCTGCTTGGAACATACTTTCTTCGAAATGGAATGATAGTTTTCTGCTCTCAGAAGCACGTTATCTCCTCACAGATGTTCTTTTCTCTGCTGTAGTCTCATCAGGAGAAAAGCCGAGGGCTTTAGAGAGGTCAGTATGGGCTAGTCTGAAGACTTCCCAAATGAGAGTCAGGCAAATCTGCAGGGATTAGGTAAGAGTAGATGCTATTCAACTTAGAAGCTTTCTCATCCTAGAGTCCACATAAGATTAATCACAAGCTAAATTTGATGACAAAGCTCTAATGAGGCAATCAAGGGACTGTGATTTATCATTTTCATACCTTATCAAAATTATACTCATATATGTTTTTCAGGCATTCATTCAACCAGCCTTTACTGAGCACCTACTATGTGCCAGGCACTATATGCCCTTATTCTCTGCTCACACATCAGGGTCTAGGTTTAAAAGGCAGCAGCTGCAAACACTGTGTGATGAGTCAATCAGAGAACAAAATGTGAATCTCGAAAGGCTAGCATGGGTGACCCAGAAATGGATAAAGTTCTTACCCTTAAAAGATATGTTCCAATAAGCTGGGTTTCTGTAACTTCAAGCATGTTAGCAAAACCCAGCTCCACAAAAAACTCTAGGGAGCCTGGAGGTAAATAAAGGGCACCCACTTGGCAAACAGCATGATTTATAACTTCAATGGGCAAAGAGCCAAGTTTAAGAATAGTTCCTGGGCCAGATGAGAAAATTTCTTCTGGACAGAAAAGTTATCAAGGGTTGTACTCACTCCAGCAAGCAAAGTGAGAAGACTCATTTTCTTCCCTCGGGTTTAACATAAGAAGTTGGATCCTACCTCGTGTTGAGAATAGTCTGCCAATGGTTAGAGCTTCTTCAATGAAAGGAAGAGGAGAGGTTGAAAGGCAAGCTCAGGGAGCAGTGGACATAACGCTGGTCAAAATGATCCAGAGTTCTAGTCACTCCTAGGATGGTGCTGATACTGAAGATATACTCAGGGTTAGCAGGAAGAAGCTAGCAGAGACTGAAGGAGAAATACTTAAAACTTACTACTTAGCACTTACTCATACCTGAATGTTTGCATTTCTTTAAAGTTATGCCTTTGAAATCAGCCTGACCCAGATTTGAGTCTTGGCTTTCCACTATTCTTTGGGAAACATATCAATATGGAACCTCTATAAGACTATTTCCTCCTGGGAAACATGGAGATCATGATAGTACTTGTTTCTCGGGGGCAGAGGTGAGAATCAGAAAAAATGGTGGATAAAACATGCATAGCACAGCACAGTGTCTGGAATGTAAGTGTACAATAAAGGATAAACTATTAATCTTTCTGTCTTCTCAATTCAATATAGTTTCCTTTGTCCTACAAATACATAAAAGTGAATGGTACTGATGACGGTGACATTTGACTATTTCAATCAAGTTGTTTTCTGATATTTTAAGAAGACACAGCTGAGTGACAAGTCATGACTGAATGCTTACTTGTAGAAGCCTGGAGAGAGAGCTCTCAGGTCAGACCCTGTACACCTGAACTGCAAAGATAAATGCCCGTAGGCGTGGCTCTCAACAGGAACACAACCTGTTTTTCAAATCAGTGGGGATTTCTTTTTAAAACTTTAAGTGCAGGCAAAGTACACAGAAGCAAACAAGCTTCTCCCATAGCAGATGTCTTTGAAACTCAAAAGAGAGGAGCAATGAGAGATGTTGCAGATGGCAACTGGCATACTTGAGCCTTTGAAAACAATTCTCCTCTTAAACTAGTACTTCTAATGACTATTTAGTGTTACCTACACTTTAGCAGTCTAAAATAAAGAGCTGTATTCTTCTCTTTTTAGAAAAGGGATGGAAAAGTCACAGTTAAAAGTAATCTGTACAGAGAGTCACTGAAGAGATAGAGTTGCCAGGTTGCTATGTGACCTTGGGTGACCTTCATCATCAAGCCCCACTGTCCCTTGCAGAAAATGACATATCAAGGTGAGCTGGGGGGTTTTCAAACTCTTTTTGGCCCTGACATCCTTTCTTTCAATGACTGCTCATCTGGAAGCCTATAACACAAATAAGTTGATATGGGGAGCAAGAGTGGAGAGGCCAGGGCCCCCAGACATTCAGTCCTGACCTTACAGCTCCTGAAGGGTGGCCTGGAGCTGAGTTTGAAAACCACTGGCCAGGGGCACCTGGGTGGCTCAGTGGTTGAGCATCTGCCTTTGGCTCAAGTCGTGATCCCAGGGTCCTGGGATCAAGTGCTGCATCAGGCTTCCCACAGGGAGCCTGCTTCTCCCTCTGCCTACGTCTCTGCCATGTCTCTGTCATGAATAAATAAATAAAATCTTAGAAGGAAGTAAGGAAGGAAGAAGGAATAAAGACGGCAAGAAAGAAAGAAAACCACTGGCCCAGTGGTTTTCTCTTACTCTGTGGGCCTTCGTCCTCTGCACTTACTATGCTTCGCTACTTGGGTCACACAATAAGAACACACTGCCGCCTTCCAACAGTAGCAAGCAAAGAGTTCAAAATCCTGTTTAGGATCCTAAAATGAAGCCTAAGTGGCTAAATCTGCAGATGCCACCTGAGGGAGCTCTGCAGACGGCACACTCAAACTTTCCAAATAAAACCCATCAGCTGGACAGGGGATAGTAAGCACAAGATTTTGTTCTGAGATTTCTCAGAGAATTAGTTCATCAATCTCCTTCTTTCCCTTCCTCCCTATACCTTAGGTCCAGTTTAGAGGTCGCTGGGTCACTAGCCACTAGGTTGGGTATCATTTAATGCACTATAAGGAAAACATCTTTAACATTATTTACATGTCTAAAATAAATACTGACTCCTATATAAAATGACACCACCACATTGGGAATTCTATAATTATTACATAAACTCTATTTTGAGATTTTAGGTTTAAGAGCTTAAAATTTCTTATGGAAATAAGATTTTCCAGACTTACAAATAGGTATATGAATCATAGAAAGGAAAAAAGACATTTTTATCTATTCTTAAATAGCAACTTCCTTGGATGAAATGCCTAAATATCCAGGTTACAAAATGGCCTTTCAAGATTGGGATGTTGACAGATTCCAAAAGAAAAATAAGAGGACATTAAACCACTATTTAACTTTAGACATATAGCTAGGGCTGTCAGCTAGGGTTTTTAGTCATCAAAGAATTATTATGCTTAGCATTCAATTTGCTGTATACATTCAACCAATTTCTCAACAGATGCTCTTAGAAGTTAAAGTTTAAGGAAAGGGCTCAAAAAGAAAGATTTACCACCTCCATACTGCAATGTGTAAGCAAAAACTTCAGAGGAGCTCTTTGTCCTGTATTGGAATGTATCTGGGGTGCTCTCCAGAACAAAGGTTGCAGAGAGCCCTGATGAGATCACCAACACAAACTATGCAGACTTTCTCACGCTATAGTAGTACACACAGGACTTCACCGCCAGGAAACCTTGTGACTTTGCTATTGAAGGGTTTATCTAAGACCAATGACCACCTCACTTGGTACTTCTGTTTACTCTACACTTTTTTTTTTAATTTTTATTTATTTATGATAGTCACACACACAGAGAGAGAGAGAGAGAGAGAGAGAGAGAGAGAGAGGCAGAGACACAGGCAGAGGGAGAAGCAGGCTCCATGCACCGGGAGCCCGACGTGGGATTCGATCCCGGGTCTCCAGGATCGCGCCCTGGGCCAAAGGCAGGCGCCAAACTGCTGTGCCACCCAGGGATCCCCACTCTACACTTTTCTTAAGCCCAATTAAAAAAAGAGAGAAAGGAAGCAAGTATCTAAGAGGCAGGGAGTCTAAGCCTATCAATAAATGTGTACTACAGATTAACTGACAGACTTAATTCAGCAGTCTCTTAAGTGGCCTGGAGTTGGCCAGAGAGGAAAAAGCACATTTCAAGGATGGGAACAATGCAGCTGAGACACTACGGCCTGACTCAGCATAAAAGCAAGCACAACAGGAGTGGCAGGCCTATGCTAATGAGTAGTTAGACACCCATGAACAGGAGCCTGTATTCAGCTGGCATGCCCCTGAATGTTGCCTGGTACCTTGCCAGTTATTAAAATATTGCAAAATACTGCTGAATTGGTCATTAAATATTTTGAACAAATGCCCTGGGCATGCGATTACACATGGCCCTGAAAATGAGGCACAGGAGCTTTGATTAGAATTGGAAGGAAAGTATATACAATGACATCTCAAAGGGACTCAGAGGAATATGATGGATATGCAGTTTCAAGAAGACCTTTTTAGCAGTGTGGTCTTCTGTTGGATCTCACCAGGAAGGGCAGAGGGGGGGCAGTTTCCTACTCTTGTACCTGGCTTAGGTGACAAGTGGCTTGTTCTACCATCACTTCATAAAGAGTGGCTAGACGACACTTGCTCAAGACACCAGTTCAAGACAGATGAGCTGTGTTCATTTGGACAAAGTTCAGCCTCTCCTGCCTTTGGGTATCCAGGCTGAAATGACCAAGGCTTTGAGGTTTTTCTGACTAATATCTCAGATTGCTATCAACTCATTATTTTCTAGAAAGTGCTCTTAAGTCTCATGTCCCTTGCCACTAATATCCTCCTCCAGGGCATGAACAGTGATATGGCAGTTGGGTATACAAGATAAGAGCAGAGAAATATCCATTAAGGGGGCGGTGCCTTGGTGGCTCACTCAGTTAAGTGTCTGACTCTTGATTATGGCTCAGGTCATGATCTCAGGGTCCTGGGACTGAGACCCTCCTTGGCCTCCGCACTCATCAGGAAGTCTGCCTGAGATTCTCTCCTTCTGCCCCTCCCCACTCACTCACAGGCACATGCATGCTCTTTCTCTCATATAAATAAATCTTTAAATTAAAAAAAAAGAGAGAGAGAGAGAGAAGTATCTATTAGATTTAACTCCTAGGGAAGATCACTGG